TTGTATGATCAGAAAAAGAGCTACTGGTCAAAGTTTATAAACTTGAAGTTCTGGAGGATGAATAGATGAAAGTATCTAATATACAAGATGGAGACTATAGTGAACGGTAATGTAATTTATAGTGGAAAATCGTAACTATAAATTTTACAGACTATCATAAATTTGTTAACTATGTGAGGTGATGGATATATTTGGTTTATTTAATAATCTTCACAATATACATTCTTCACAACAGCATGTTTTAGAATCACACATACACACAATTTTAAAAATAAATTTTGACCATACCCATAAGTGAAATAAACTAGACATGCATTATCTTGTCTCACTAGTGTGACAATGTCAAAGAGTAAACAAGATCCAAAATATACCATAGATATTATGAATAGGGAAGAAATTGTTAAAAAAAAAGGCAAAACTCTGATGTGAGAAGAGGGAAAGGAAGGAAGTGAAAAGGAAAAAAATACATACACTCACAAGACAGGCTAGTTATACAACTGCTTTCTCTTGGTCACTGAGGGGAAATCTTTGTATTAATAATTTTCTGGACAATGTTTCATGCCTATATCTTGTACTCTGAACAACTACTGTGAACATAACAACTCACAATGTGTTGATTAATGTTATTCTCCTACTAGCCTGTTTTGAAACTGTTTTATTATTTTTTACTTTTTTCTGTTTAAAATAAAAAAATAAAAGAAACAATTATAGAAACCTCCCAAAATGAATAAATGAACAAACGCATGAGAAAATATCTATCATCTGTTATAAAATATACATGATTTTAATACAATGCATAATAAATATTTTGACCTACAAGAATTTTTTCTGTTGAATACATTACTGAGTAGTTTTTTCCATGACTTTAAATTTATATTTTCCTTTAGTTACAATATTAGCGGCTCTCTCTTTTTTTAACTAAAAAGTCCTAGAAATAAATGTTGCTATTCCTGAGCATAAAATGGTGAATAATTAAGTAAGTAAATACCTTTTAGCTTGATTAAGGTTTAAATTTTTATGATTTGAGTTTTAGTGATTTCTATTCATACATTTATCATTTTATTCCTTGTGCTTGCTTTGGTATTATTTTGTTCTTTTCTTGTTTCTTCAGCAAACACCACAGAGAATTTACTTGAAATTCTTCCTTTTTTTCTAATATAAGACTTTAATGGTAATATGTTTTTTTCTGATACTGCTTTAAAGTATTTTTATCATTTCTTTTGAAGTCCTTTGTTAGATTACCAGCTGTAATTCTTTTTTATTTTATAAGTCAGTTTAGGGTTAATATTATCTATTTCATTTGTATAACGTCTATCTATTATGTTCAAATTACAGTTTTAGATAATCTACTTTAAAATGAATTCATTTTATAGATTGGAAGGATATCAGATAATGTATTTTAATTCTTAGTGTTTATGTAATTATCATGATTTATTTTATATAATCTTGAATTTGGATTCCAGTAGGTTCTCAGTACATGCCTATAATACCAACAGTAATTCTCACAGATGTTATTGATCTGACTCATGTCCTGTAGGAAAAGCAGTGTGGGATATTTTACTTTTCAGGATTTTTAATATACATCTAGTTTTTCTAATAAAAATGGAGATTAGATTTCTCTTCTCAGAACAAAATATATATATATATTTTCAGTACTGGGAATCAAACTCAGGACTTTATGCTTGCCAGGCAGGTGCTTGTGCCACTGAGCTACAAAATATGTTTTATCTTGGTATAAAAGAACCGTATTTTATTTTGTACTTTTTTTTTTCTTTGGTTTTTTGTATGGTACCAGGAATTGAACTCATGACCTTACACTTGCCAGGCAGGCTCTGTGCTGCTGAGCTAAATCTCCAACCCCTTATTTTGTACTTTCTTTAGTCTTGTTCATCTATTTCTACAATTATTGTTAGTTCTTCCTAATAATGCTGTTTTAGATTTTTATTATAATTACTTCTATTACCATTTTGCAATTTATTTTTTGTAGCTCCTCTTCTATTATGGAATTGTAATCTGTTTTAAATTGGAATAGAGTCAGTACATATGTAGACTATGAGTTTTACTACAAAAGGTTCAATAGGCTTATTTTCAGGGCATTTCACTGCTAAAATCACTATAGAACTTGTGCTCTGGGTTGTCTTTCTTTTGGGGGAAACCTGATATATAAGTAGAGTACACTAAAAATGTATACACAATTCAGCAGTTCACCATACTAATAAATGTCTGGAAGCTAATAGCCGCCACTCTTCCTCTTGTAATTGTACAGGCCAAAGGTAACTTCTGTTAATCTCATAACATCTCAATAAGTTTAGTATTAAAATATTTATACATTTTTCTTTTCCTGATGTATACATTTTTGGTGGAATACATAATATGCACATATACATATACATACACATATAAATATATAATATATGTGATCTAGATAGATTACATATGAGCACACATTTATCTATCTATGAAAATTGTGTGGATTTATCTCTTGTTCTCTCATGGCAAATGACCCTGTAGAATGGTTCCAATCAAGTGGTAAATACTGAACTAATATGGGTCTCCAGTGTTCTTCGGGAATTTAGTGCTTACTCATTGCGACTACACTGTTGAATGATTGTGCACCAAGTTGCACAAATCTCTAATGGATTTTGACATGAGTTGTGGTGTGATGCTCTTCATTTCACTCTTTCTGGGCCTGTCCTGGGGTCTCTCCACACCTCTAAACATATGTTGTATAGGAGACTGGAAAAGCACAGACTATGGTCTGTGGGGCCAACAGCTTCCCAGAGGAACTCAGAATCCAATGGGACCCATGTGCCTTCCTGCCTCTCTTACAGGTTCAACCTCCACTTCTTCTGCCTCAGCGTGACAGTGTCTACCCAGGGAGGATGGAAAGCAGGCACCACCAACACAGGCTCCTGTGCTCCTTGGAGACACTCACCACAAACAAGAACTTTTAATTTTTTCTGGGAATTTGGAATTAAGAAAAAGTTTTCAGATGCATTACACCAGAGGCAAGTGTCAGTGACTCCACAGAAGAACTGTTCATTTGTGTCCTATCGGGAGGTGAAGTCATATTTTCATCTGTTTTTATCTCTGTGCCTGGCTTTTTTCCTCTCTCATCATGGGCCATATGTCTGTCCCTTGGAGGTCACCGTCCTGGTTGAGGAAGAGGGATGGGTGAGTTTTCTCACAGTCTGAGAGGCAGAGTCTGCTAGAGAAGTAGAAACAACAGATTCTTGGAAAGTGCTCTTGTGTGAAGACAGATTGTTCTGGGGTAGAGGCTGATCTTCACTAAAGCCAGCCAGGAGGGGCAATTCTTGAGGCGTGGGCAGAGTTGTGGACAAGGCCCCTATAGGGCCAGGACCCTGTGCTGAAACCTGGTGATCCCTGATGTGCTCTAGTGTAACCCTCAATGCTTATGTTTGCTGCAGCTGGATGCAAGCAGGAATTAAGTCTGAATTTCATGATGGGTAGAGTGCTAATTTGGAAACTAATTTGTTTCAAAGGTATCATAAAGTAATCTTAGAGAAATTTCATGTATTGTTTTCTAAATTCTGGATTGTTTTTTAAAATTTCCTGGATTGTTTTCTAAATTCTGTGCATCTGTTGAATAGGATGGAGTTAAAAGAATCTTCTGTTTGTTTGGAAATCTTGACTACTTGTTATTGAAATGAAATTATCTCTCTCTAGTGTGATTGTGACATGTGTACTGAATGAGGAATTATTTTTCTGTATAAAAGTATTAGAATTCTTTTGATATTAGGGAGTTTTCCCTCCTTCAGTTAAGAAAAGATACTTCCAAAGTAGCAAATTACAGTTGAAAGTGAAGGATTATACAAAAAATATAGCATTTGCTGTATTTATTCTGATAAACATGCAATATTTTGTTGGGTTAAAAAGTACTCCTCAAATATTATTTCCATGTCTCTTCCACTTCAAATTATTTTATAGTATTTGATGCTATGGCTTGCATTTTAATTTTATATAGCTTTTGTATTTTAATATATTTTAAGCATCATATGATATGTAGATTGTTTTTCTCTTAAAACAATGAATAGAGAATCATATCTCCATTTAGAAGCATTAAGTCAGTTTTTAAAAAATATTTTATATCTCATAGATGAGAATGATCTCCAACGTTGTACTCTTCCACAGGAAGTATTTGAAATATGAAATGTATACTTTGTTGCTTTCTTAATATTCTTCCATACTCAATAAAGACACCAGAGCTGAAGAAAATGCCAGATATAGCTACATTTCATGAAGTCATCTGAGTCTTTATTCCTATAATATCTTTTATATAATAAATTTTGACAGTGAAAAATCCAACACGTTCAAGTGCATAAAACACAATGAGTTTAATGTAAGACAGGAGATACAGTGGTACCTTGGTTCCTGAACTTAATTTGTTTTATGATTTGGGGGAAGTGGCTGTGTGTGTTTGCATGGGCAACACTGCTACAGTTACATTTGCACCTTATGTTGAGTTTGGCAGAAAAATAAAATATTGTCCAATGTTTTTGTTTGAGAACCAAATTGTTAATGAACAGAAGCATTTGTGAACTCAGGTGCATGTATGCATTATTTAAAAAACACCAAAAGATTGGATAACATACCAGAACAATGACCCAGCAACCAGGTCTCTTTGTATGAAGCTAGACTACCAATTTTTATGTGAATTACTACCCACCTTGTGGCTAAAATCTCCTGCAATGTAAGAAGAGCATACATTACTGCCTACGCCTTATGGATGTGGATAATAAAGTAGTTACATAAGATGTTAGCAGTGAGTTATATATGGTAATTACTGTACAAAAGCACATAAAACTTGGGCATTATTCTAACACACACACATATATATATACAAGAAATTGCCAGAGGAAAATATCATGATAAAGGGAGAATTTCATGTATAATTCTATATTAACTATTATCCACAATTCATGTTACCATGTAGAAGCTTCTGTTTAAGAATTTGAATCCTGAACAAAGTAAATGACAGAATGGCCTCCAGGGTTGTGTATATTTTAATAATCTTCCTTGTTCAGATTTTCATTGGAACACTGGGGAATCTCTCTCTCTTAGGTCAATATTTATTTCTTTACCTCAGTAGATATAAGACAAGATCAATAGATTTGATTATTATGCATCTGATTGTGGCCAACTTCTTGGTCATTCTCTCTAGAGGGATCCCAGAGACCATGGCAGCTTATGGGTTGGAAGACTTCCTCAGTGATTTTGGATGCAAATTTGTTTTCTATGTTAGCAGGGTGGGTAGGGGTGTAGCTTTTGGCAGCACCTGCCTCCTGAGTGTCTTCCAGGCCATCACCATCAGCCCCAGCAGCTCCAGGTGGGCAGAACTGAAAGTGAAATTTCCCAAGTATATAAGCACCTTCACTGTCCTCTGCTGGGTCCTGCACTTGGTGCTGAACATTAGTTTCTCTGTGAGCTTGACTAGCAGATTGAAAAACAAAAACATCACAAATAAAATAGACTTTGCTTACTGTTCAGATCCAAGAACCACGAAAGGGATATACACTGCACATGCAGTGTATATCGCCATCTTTGATGTTTTGTGCATGGGTCTAATGCTCTCAGCCTGTGGCTCTATGCTTTTCATCTTGTTTATGCACAAGCGACGGGTCCAATACATGCATAGGACCAGCAACTTCTTCAGATCCTCTCCTGAGACCAGAGCCACTCAAAGCATCCTTATCCTGGTAATCATCTTTGTATTTTTCTATTTCCTGTCTTGTATCATGCAAGTATATGTGACGTTTTTTAGTCATTCAAGAATCTTTCTGTTCACTCTTGATGCTTTTCTAAGTGCATGTTTCTCTACTGTTTGTCCCTTTGTATTCATGATTTGTGGCCACTATGTAAATGGAATCTGCTGTGTCTACTCTAAAAGGAACACAGTCATCTAATTGCAAGAGAAAGAACATATGCACTGTCTGCTTTTCACTGTTTTGAATCATTGATGAACTCACCTCTCACTAAATCCCCTAAAGTGCAGAAGATATGGCCTTAACTCCTTTTTGCTTCTTTAAGCCTTGTGTCCTTGAGTTGACTAAAAGGAATCCCTGTCCATCCCTGCCTCATTTGTTTGGATAATCTCTTCTCGAAACTACCTACAGCCATCTTAGTAGCACAAAGACTATAGCCATCTGTTTTTCAGTGACCTTAGCCCCCAGCAGGATACGACTTTCACCTTAAACCTCCTCAGTCTTGGAACCTCAGCTGAGGATGTCTGTAAAATACTCCTGGGTATAGGTGATGTTGGTGTTTGGATGAACAAATAATACCCTTTAAATTACCAAAATTTGGAAACCTGAACATTCATGAGTTAAAATTTTGCTGAATTTTCATTTTAAACTTTGGAAGTCTTAATTCTAGGAAGTGGTCATGGCTCACTCCCTGTGTAGTCTCTCCTTGCTTCTAATTTGGTGGATCTGAAGCCTGTTGCAGTGTGCTAGTGGGTGCCTGTTGCTGTCTGTGCTTCTTCCGCTTCCCATATCCAGTCTCTGACCTACCATCTTTGGAGACCACACTGACCTGAATCCCACAACAACTCTTTACCTGCTCTGAGCTTGGAGACTCATCACCTCTAGGCAGATGTTTTCAGAGATTCCCTGGATTTGCTACAAATATGTGGTAAGAAGCAGGAAGGAGGAAGGTTATCAGGTGTACAGCAAGATAGGTCTCTAGGACACAAGGAGGGAGGGATTGGACAAGCACATGGGAGGAGCAACAAATAGATGAGTCAATACTGGAGTCTTCACATCTGTCTCTAGTTAGCACTGGTGTTCAGAATTTCTCCCTTTTACCTTACTTTATATTTCAATTTTTTAATTTGCAAAGTCATCTCCTATTTATTTTAAATTGACTTTTTAAACTAAGGTGTAGCTTTATTTTCCTTTCACTTAATGTCACTTTAGTTTAACAAAATAATTGTTCCCCATAGTTTACACTATTATGTATATAATTATGAAATGTTTTATCAGTGAGTCAAATCACACACATATATATGTATATATAATCATATAGATTAGAAAGGTTTCTATTTCTGTCTAGTCATTCATGTTTTTATCCCCTAGCATTTTATTTTTGTAAAATTTATATTGTAATAAAATTGGAATGTGATATCATACTTTGTAGATATGCTTTTATATATACTTTTATATTATTGATGAATATTGCATAAGATATTCAATTTCAAGGTAATCCTACAGATGATTACATTTAAATCTTGATTATATTTAATCATTCCATAATGATATAGTGATTTAAAACATTGTATTGTACTTACTATAATGTAAACATCAGGTCTTGTTTGCCTAGTTCCAAGATATTTCTTGCATGAATTATTTGTATTTTGTCTGGGTGTGACTATGATTGTATGTGTGAATATTTGTCCATGTGTTGTGTGTGCACCTTTGCCTCTCACTGTGCATTTGTGAGTGTGTTCTTACATGTCCCTAGGAGAATATTTGTGTATGAAATTGAGCTCATCACTACATCCTGGACATGTGGGTTCTGTACTTCTTACCAGGGAATCACAGGAGATTATTTTTTAAAATTAAAGTCAGTTATGTTAAATCATTTAAGAGATTGTTTTTAGAGAACTATCTTAAGGGTTAATGTAAAATCAAGAGGTGTTAAGAATCCAGGTAAAAAAAACCAAGGAGATACTGTGTAGCAGAAAAACTCTAGATAAAGAAGGAAGGAAGAGAGCAGGGGGAGTAATATACAAACACAGAGGCAGAAAGGAGATGGAAATAAAGAGAAGGAGATGGGAACTTGGAGCAAAAGTGGAGAGGAAAAAATATGGAATAGTGTGATTTCAGAAGGAAACATCACAGAGGGAAATGGGGAAAACGGAATCAGAGTCAGGAACCAGGACAAAGAGGCTTGCAAAGGATAAAGAAAGAAAAAGACTGTGTGTATCAATGGAAAAATGTGCACAGGAACAAAGAGAAAGATGGCGGGGCTAAGGGGACAGAGATTTGGGTAAAAACAGGGAAGAACACTGAGGGAGTTTGCAAAAAGAAAAAAATAAAAGGAAGTAAATGACAATGTTCTGTAAAATGGAGAAGGCTGAGACACAGAATACCTGGAATCAGGAAGAGCAGCTTTAATCTTTTAAAAATTTGCCTTGTAGCCTCATTGCACTGCATTCACAAAGTATACAACATTGTTGAATTGTGTTGTTCTAAAATCCATATATTGCTGTTTATCACCCCAAAGCCTCATGCAGTCATGGGGATAGACTTTGTAGAGGGCATTGTATTTAGAGTGTGTGATGCTGGGATTAAAGATGAATGATTAGTAAGTCAGCCGACTAACTGGCTTGGCATAATTCTGTCTAGAATTAAGGATGTGAGTGCTACATTTGCCCCAGGGCGGGTAGCCTGCATACAATATAAGCCTGCGTACAGTATATATATATACAGAATGAGATTTATCGTTCTTTCATTGCTTTTGCTATCTTGTGGGCACCATGAACTTTTCTTCTCTGTGATGCCACTCTGGTATGTGCAACTCTGCCTTGGAGCCAGCCGATTATGGACTGAAACTATATCATATGTAACATACCACGGAGCAAACCAGCAGACAACCAGGCTTATGTAAAGGCAACATGGTGTGGAATTTATCGTGCCTGGATGCAGGTAGGCAAAGAGTGCGGTAAGACTGTCTTCCCAGAACAAAGAGAAGTGTCTTTTCTATAGGGATGGAGAGAAGAAGGCAGGGGATATTAGGCAGGAAGATCCCAACAACCATCAGTGGTCAAAGTTCTCTGGCAATCCTGCATCTCAGTAGACAGAGTTCTTGAAGTGTCTGGTATAAATTCTCAGGTGTCTTCAGATGTCCCCAGATGTCCCAGGACCTGCAAAATTCCTTGTCCTATCTTATCTCTTCCACAACATCCTGTACTTGCTGATAACAGCCTCAGGTGCTGAGCTGAATTCTTTGCAGAGAGTGGTGCTTCTGCAGGCAGGAAGATTGTGGGCTGGGAGAATTATCTCTTCCAACCTTACAGAAACCTCTACAAACTGTGAGTTAAATAAACCTTGCCACCTTTAACTGTGGGTGTGGTGTATTTTGTCTCAGCGAAAAAAGCAACTAAAACACACTGTATTTACGAAGTATACAACAATGTTGAATTTTGTTTTCCTAAAATCCAAATGGTGCTGTCCTCACAAAAATCCATTAAATTTAACTTAGCTTGGGGGAGTAAGGTCCTTGCAGGTGGAAGGCATTAAGATGAGATCCCGCTGAGGTAGTCAGAACTTTAGATAACATGATAAACTGCAGGATACAAATCACAGGAAACAAAACATACAAAGTGGAGGAGCATTTTTATTCTGCAAGAAAACTCACTGAGCTGCAAATCAAGAAGGTAACCCATCTACAATATCTACAAAAATAAATCGAATAATATATATGCAGGAAAGATTGTGAATGAAGAAGTGAAACCTAATTGCAAAGCAAAGATGAAAAATTGAAATCAATATAAAATGGAAAGTTGGGTCATGGAGATATTCTTTTCTGTTTGTGTAGTTTGGGGTTATGAGCACCCATGTAGTTGTACATCCACCCAGTTCTTTAGATCTGGGAAACTTTCTGCCATACTTTCAGCACATTCATATTTTATACCATTAGTATCTGCCTCTACATTGTCCTAAATGCCAAAGATCTTTATGTTTGTTCTTTAGGATTCATCTAGTTCTCGGATCATCATGAGATTATTTACTGTTTCTTTTGTTATTACTGAATAACTGTTTGGCTAACAATGTCATGCACAAGTCCTGGTATTACATCTTCTGATTGATCTTATCTCTGTTGCCAAAACTTTCAATAAAATTTTTCATTTTCATTATTTTTGCTTTATTTCTTTTTATTACCTCTAATTCTTTGTTGAAGCAGTGTTTCATATATTGCTTTGCTGTTTTTATTTTATTTATTTATTTATTTATTTTTTTTGGTTTTTCTCCGGTACCGGGAACCGAACTCACGACCTTGCGCTTGCCAGGCAGGCGCTTTTGCCGCTGAGCTAAATCCCCAGCCCCCGCTTTGCTCTTTTTAAATTATCAGCTCTTTATTTTACATATTCTTTATGCTCACTGATCAAGTGACCATCTTAGTTATTGATTCATTTGACTGATTATGTGATCATCTTAGTAACTGATCATCAGTATTTTATTTGATCATCTTAGTAATTGATTCATTCAGTCACTTTCTTTTCTCTTTTTAATCTCTTCAATCATTTTCATAATTAGTTTTTTTACACAAAAAATAGTTAAACCTAGCTGCAGCCGGCCCCACACAGGAGCTTGGGACCAGGCAAAACCTGGATAGCTGTAGGAGCCTGGGGTGCACTCCCCGCCCCTCCTCTCCCTCAAGTTCCTCCATCGGAGAGGAGCTGCACGTCGGAAGCTTCGGGAACTGGGTGAACTGTTGTCGGCCCCACACATGAGCTTGGGACCAGGCAGAAACCCGGCCAGCCCTAGGGACCTGGGGTCCACTCCCCGCCCCTCCACTTCCCCCCACTTCCTCGGTTGGAGCTGAGTTGCACCTCAGACGCTTCGGGAATTCCAGTGAGCTTCTGCCGGCCCCACACAGGAGCTTGGGACCAGGCAGAAACCTGCACAGCTCTAGGGGCCTGGGGTGCACTCCCCGCCCCTCCCCTCCTACTCCCTTCCTCTATCAGAGCTGAGTTGCACCTCTGTCGGCTTTGGGAACCCGGGTGAGCTGCTCCCACGCCCCACACAGGAGCTAGGGACCAGGCAGAAGCCTGGACAGCACTGGGGCTGATTACCGGATATCTTCAGGAAGCCCGATGAGGCATGGTAGTGCCTCCCTGACCAGTGTGCAAGGCAAGCAGAACCCTGGGCACACTCTGGGGACTCAGGCGGGGGCCTACTGG